CTCTTACAGCTTCCTGTGTATCAGTGACAGCAGCCAACTCTTACAGCTTCCTGTGTATCAGTGACATCAGTCAACTCTTACAGCTTCCTGTGTATCAGTGACATCAGTCAACTCTTAAAGCTTCCTGTGTATCAGTCCCCTGTAGCTCAGTTGGTAGAATATGGCGCTTGCAACGCCAGGGTTGTGGGTTCGTTTCCCACGGTGGGCCAGTATGAAAATGTATGCACTCACTAACTGAAAGTCACTCTGGATAAGAGCGTCTGCTAAATGACTAAAATGTATCAGTTACAGCTTCCTGTGTATCAGTGACAGCAGTCAACTCTTACAGCTTCCTGTGTATCAGTGACAGCAGTCAACTCTTACAGCTTCCTGTGTCTCCGCTTCCAGCAGTCAACTCTTACAGCTTCCTGTGTCTCCGCTTCCAGCAGCCAACTCTTACATATTCCTGTGTATAAGTGACAGCAGTCAACTCTTACAGCTTCCTGTGTCTCCGCTTCCAGCAGTCAACTCTTACAGCTTCCTGTGTCTCCGCTTCCAGCAGTCAACTCTTATAGCTTCCTGTGTATCAGTGACAGCAGTCAACTCTTACAGCTTCCTGTGTCTCCGCTTCCAGCAGCCAACTCTTACAGCTTCCTGTGTATCAGTGACATCAGTCAACTCTTACAGCTTCCTGTGTCTCCGCTTCCAGCAGCCAACTCTTACAGCTTCCTGTGTATCAGTGACAGCAGTCAACTCTTACAGCTTCCTGTGTCTCCGCTTCCAGCAGCCAACTCTTACAGCTTCCTGTGTATCAGTGACAGCAGTCAACTCTTACAGCTTCCTGTGTCTCCGCTTCCAGCAGCCAACTCTTACAGCTTCCTGTGTATCAGTGACATCAGCCAACTCTTACAGCTTCCTGTGTATCAGTGACATCAGTCAACTCTTGAAGCTTCCTGTGTATCAGTGACAGTAGCCAACTCTTGAAGCTTCCTGTGTATCAGTGACAGCAGTCAACTCTTGAAGCTTCCTGTGTATCAGTGACATCAGTCAACTCTTGAAGCTTCCTGTGTATCAGTGACAGTAGCCAACTCTTGAAGCTTCCTGTGTATCAGTGACATCAGTCAACTCTTACAGCTTCCTGTGTAACAGAGTGACAGCAGCCAACTCTTACAGCCTCTGTGTAACAGAGTGACAGCAGCCAACTCTTACAGCTTCCTGTGTATCAGTGACAGCAGTCAACTCTTGAAGCTTCCTGTGTATCAGTGACAGTAGCCAACTCTTACAGCTTCCTGTGTATCAGTCCCCTGTAGCTCAGTTGGTAGAGCATGGCGCTTGCAATGCCAGGGTTGTGGGTTCGTATCCCACGGTGGGCCAGTATGAAAATGTATGCACTCACTAACTGTAAGTCACTCTGGATAAGAGCGTCTACTAAAATGTATCATCTTGAAGCTTCTGTTACAGCTTCGTGTAATCATGACAGCATCACTCTTACAGCGCGCCTGTCTCTCCCTCCCGTGCTAACTCATTACAGCTCCTTTATCGTGACACAGTCAAATCTTACACTCCTGTTCTCCGCTTCAGTGACTCTACAGCTCCTGTCGCTCCTGCTTATCAGTCCCCTTCAGTCTTGTGATCAGTGCATCAGTCAAGCCTTAGTGTGGTTCCGTATCCTCCGCTGCGCAGTCACTTAATGCTTCCTGTCTCCGTAGTCCCTCGGTAGGCGACTCTTACAAGTTCGTGTATCAGTGACGTGTCACATGTACAGCTCACTTTACAGTGACAGTCATCACTCTGTACAGCTTCCTTGCCACTCATCACAACTCCTTACAGTGTCTGTGTAACTTACAGCAGTCCTCTTACAGCTTCCGTTCGTACATCAGTCAACTCTTACAGCTTCCTGTGTCTCCGCTTCCAGCAGCCAACTCTTACAGCTTCCTGTGTATCAGTGACAGCAGTCAACTCTTATAGCTTCCTATGTCTCCGTGACAGCAGTCACTCTTGCAGCTTCCTGTGTATCATGCATTTAGCCAACTCTTACGCTTCCTGTGTATCAGTGACATCAGTCAACTCTTAAAGCTTCCTGTGTATCAGTGACAGCAGTCAACTCTTGAAGCTTCCTGTGTTCTCGCTTCCCAAAACTTACACTTCCTATGTATCTGACGCAGTCAACTCTGAACTTCCTGGTATCATGACATCATCCTTTACTGCTGTATCAGTCACTCTTACAGCTTCCTGTGTATCAGTGACGCTCCAACCTTGCAAGCTTCCTGTTCTCGTACATAGTCACTCTTACAGCTCCTGTGCTATAGTCCAGTCACTCTTGAAGTCTCCTGTGTATCAGTTACAGTACCAACTCTTAACAGCTTCCTGTGTATCAGTGACAGTAGCCAACTCTTACAGCTTCCTGTGTATCAGTGACACCAGTCAACTCTTGAAGCTTCCTGTGTATCAGTGACACAGTCAACTCTTAACGCTTCCTTGTATCAGTGACAGTAGCCAACTCTTGAAGCTTCCTGTGTATCAGTGACTCAGTCAACTCTTACAGCTTCCTGGTATCGTGACAGTCAACTCTTGAAGCTTCCTGTGTCTCAGTGACAGTAGCCAACTCTTACAGCTTCCTGTGTATCAGTGACATCAGTCAACTCTTGAAGCTTCCTGTGTATCAGTGACAGCAGTCAACTCTTGAAGCTTCCTGTGTATCAGTGACAGTAGCCAACTCTTACAGCTTCCTGTGTATCGCCGCTCCACGTCAAGCTTCCTTTACAGCTTCCTGTGTTTCACTTCAGCAGCACCTTACACTTCCTGTGTATCAGTCCCTTGTAGCTCTGTGTAACATGCAGCTCAACTCCAGGTTGTGGTATCGTTCCACAGGTGGCCATATGGCACAATGTTGTTCATGACTGTAGTCACTCTTGAAGACTCCTGCTATCATACAATGTATCAGTTACAGCTTCCTGTGTATCAGTGACAGCAGTCAACTCTTACAGCTTCCTGTGTCTCCGCTTCCAGCAGTCAACTCTTACAGCTTCCTGTGTATCAGTGACAGCAGTCAACTCTTACAGCTTCCTGTGTCTCCGCTTCCAGCAGTCAACTCTTACAGCTTCATGTGTCTCCGCTTCCAGCAGTCAACTCTTACAGCTTCCTGTGTATCAGTGTGACAGGCTCACTGCCCTTCCCAGTGACATTACCAGAGAGGCGTCCTAAATGACCCCCTGTTCCCTACATAGTGCACTATTTTTGACCAGGGCCCATCGCTGTGTAACGGGCTACTGCTCTACAGCTGTCCCATTGGGCTGTGGTCAATTTGTATTTATTTATTCACTCTTACTTTACCAGGTAAGTTGACTGAGGACATATTCTCTTTTACAGCAATGACCTGTGGAATAGTTACAGGGGGGGGGAGGGGAATTGGAAGCTGGGGATGATTCGGTAAAAGTAACGCACTATGTAGGGAATAGGGTGCCATTTGGGACGCACACTAGGTACGGGAGCAGGTGAAGAATCACGCCATTCCAGAAGAAAAAAAACAGAGGTGCCTAAATTGAAATTAATGTGTTTCTACACCAAGTCACGTTCTTTCCGGCCCTGCATCTCTGCCGGCCAGCTGGTACTGCTCTACGCCGCTGTCATCTGGGCCTGCCATCTTTGATCTCTGTCCGTCACTTCTCTTCCGGTAAGTTGACTAGCGAGCCAGCTTTTAACCAGACGCCTGCGGAATTCTCTGGCGGCAGGATGACTTGGGGATGCGTAAAAGTACGCACTATGTGGGTAGCGTGTCATTCTCGGCCGCCTAGCTGTCATATCGGGAGGACAACGCGATTGGAGAGGAGACACTGGTCCTAAACGAATGGTGGAGAGATTAATGTGTTTTACCAAGAGACGTGCTGCCGGCCAGCTGTCATCTCTGCCGGCCAGCTGTCATCTCTGCCGGCCAGCTGTCATCTCTGCCGGCCAGCTGTCATCTCTGCCGGCTAGCTGTCATCTCTGCGGGCCAGCTGTCATCTCTGCCGCCTAGCTGTCATCTCTGCCGGCCAGCTGTCATCTCTGCCGGCTAGCTGTCATCTCTGCCGGCTAGCTGTCATCTCTGCGGGCCAGTGTCCCCCCCAGGCTAGCTGTCATCTCTGCAGGCTAGCTGTCATCTCTAAAGACAGATTACCTTCTTGTCCCTGTGGTTCAGTCCCTAATATCACCCTATTCCTTATCTAGTGCACTACTTTAGACCAGGGCCCATAGGACTAGTAGCACCCATCGGTCTCTGGTCAAAACTAGTAGCCGGTTTGACCATCCTGATCTGTTTTGCTACAACAGTCAGGATGGTGGATCAGATCAGGCTACAAAGGTAGAGCACTATGTAGGGAATACTGTAGGATGTCATCTGGTACACAGACAGTCTCTTCTCTGAGCAGGGTGACTACAGTCATCTGTTACTGTCTCAACCTGTCCCATCACTCTTCACTCCAGCATGGGACAACGGATCAGCCTGGGGTTTAAAGCAACGCACCAGTCTGGAATGACACCTAGTCCCTCAATTCATAATAAAAACATCCAATTTATCTCAATAACAATTCCTGTAATACCGTCCTAATCAAATCTTCCCCAGAAGGCTGTGTTGTGTATGTTGGTATTGATGTGCTGTATCGATATTCAGGCTCAGAGAGCTGGAAATCAATAACTCACAATGTAGAAATTAACAGAGTCACAATAATAACACAATAATAACATGGTGAGAAGCGCCCAGATGAAACCTCACACTTAACTGAATGGAGGGAAGGGGTCACTGGTACAGATCATTGCACACTGTCATTTCTGATAGAGGAACGACAATAGATCATCTGACTCAGAACCCAGGACAAAATATTGCATGCTCTGGCCAGCTACTCGATTTGCAGGACTGTCACAAGAGACCAGGCAATGCATGGCAAAAAATAGAACGTTCCCCTTTGCTAAATGTTGACGTGGTGAATGCAGGGTTGAGCAGGGAAGATGTATTGCATTTACTCAGGTTTACTCACTGTCGTACCCGATCTCTTACGTAGATCAGGAAGCTGAATTCCATAGCTTTGGTGCATCAGAGTCCTGTTCTTTGGATGAATGGGATTATACAGCAGACGCATGGCCAACGCTGCCTTGTGCTGAGAAAGACAGAGAGAGAGAGAGACAGAGAGAGACAGAGAGAGAGAGAGAGAGAGAGAGAGAGAGAGAGAGAGAGAGAGAGAGAGAGAGAGAACAGAGACAGAGACAGAGACAGAGACAGGACAGAGAGAGAGAGAGAGAGAGATAGAGAAGAGAGATGAGAGAGAGAGAGAGAGACAGAGAAGAGAGACAGAGAGAGAACAGAGAGAGACAGAGACAGAGAGACAGAGAAGACATAGATTGAGAGAGATAGATAAGAGAGAGAGAAGAGACAAGAGAGCGTAGAGAAAATAGAGACAGAGACAGAGATGGAGAGAGATATGAGAGTAAGAATAGTAGTAATCTATCTCTCTCCTCTTCTCTGCCTCATCTCTTATACTCTCTGCTACTCTCTTATTCTGTAGAGAGAGAGAGAGATAGAGAGAGACAGACAGACAGTTGGCAATTTCTCGCATGGAATAGCCTTAATTTCTCAGAACAAGAATAGACTGACGAGTTTCAGAAGAAAGTTATTTGTTTCTGGCCATTTTGAGCCTGTAATCGAACCCACAATTGCTGATGCTCCAGATACTCAACTAGTCTCAAGAAGGTCCGTTTTATTGCTTCTTTCATCAGCACAACAGTTTTCAGCTGTGCTAACATAATTGCAAAAGGGTTTTCTAATGATCAATTAGCCTTTTAAAATGATAAACTTGGATTAGCAAACACAACGTGCCATTGGAACACAGGATTGATGGCTGCTGATAATGGTACTCTGTACGTCTATGTAGATATTCCATTACAAATCAGCCGTTTCCAGCTACAATAGCCATTTACAACATTAACAATGTCTACACTGTATTTCTGATCAATTTGATGTTATTTTAAATGGACAAAAAAAATGCTTTTCTTTCGAAAACAAGGAAATTTCTAAGTGACCCCAAACTTTGGAATGGTAGTGTGTATATATATATATATATATATATATATATATATATATATATATATATATATATATATACACACATATATAGGCCATATACCACACCCCCTCGAGCCTTATTGCTTAATTATAGCCCACAGATTGTAGTGATATGTTACAGATTCCTGCAAGTTGACAGGTGTGAGCAGTGGATGACTAGACCTATAGTATTTACCTTCTCCCCAGGTGAAGCCCCCACACTCTGGCCTCTCTGAGGATGCATGTCTGGGATAATCTCCAGAGGGGGCCTCCTGTATGACATACTGCTGGTCAGACTCATACTGTACTCATAAAAAAACAATGTAGGCAGTCCTGAGAAAACGACTTACCATTTGGGAATCTGTACATTCTTCTTCTCTAGGTCTTCGATGCTGGGAAGAGTCAGTACCTGCCTATTGACTGTCTTCTGATACTCCTCTGCACGCCTCTGGAAACAAATGTTCACGGGTTAGGGTTATGTTGGAATGCTATTGATATCAGTGCTCAGTGTATTGTGTGTGTGTGTGTGTGTGTGAGATTCATGATCTTTCAAGAAGGTTATATAGCCTTGTCTTTAGGTGACTTAGCTGGTAGGGCATAATGAAGATGTTTTCAGATGTGTGCAGAAGACAGGCGTAGTCCTAACCCTGATCCCACTCTCTGTCCTGCGGATGGCAGTGTCCAAGGCCTGGATGTCCACGGTTTCTCCCTTCTCGTGGAAGGTGATACGGCCAAGAGTACGCTTCAACTGTCTCAAATCGTCCTGGACCTGATGATGAACACCAAATTACCAGACGCAACATGAAAAATCTATACCATCACTGTTGATTCACCTTCAACATCCCAAAACAAGACAACTCTTCATGAGACAATTGTGTAGCCTAACTTTAGCTAGATAACTATAAATAACTAGCTAATTCATACAAAATATAAACAATAAAAAAAACAGTTAGCTAGCAAGAAAACAACAACACAGCAAATGTAGATAGCTAACGTTAACGTCGTTACCTGGACTAAAACGTTTCCCAGCTCATCTGAGTTTTTGAGGACGTCAGCCATTTCTTTGCCAGTTTCTGTAAAAACTTGCAAGTTTCTGTAAACACTTTCAAAGCATCAAAGTCCCATTGCATGTGAAATGATGCATGGTTTGCTAGCTGGCTAATTGGCTAGCTATTTATTGTTGCGGAAAGCTTGACAACTTCCATGTCAACAATCCCTTTGCCATCCTCTGCCTGGCCCCTGACAAAACACTGTAACTAAGGCAACGAGATGCTACATTTTCTAAGTGGGCGAATGGGAGAGGAGAAAAGAGATGTCAAACATACTAGATATTTGTGGTTTTGCTAGATTTTTTTGCTTTATAATGTTTGAATACACAAAAGCATGAAATGTGCACTTTTATTAAATAGAAAGTACATAAATCAGACCTAGAATCCAGACTTTTTCTCATTCTGCGGTGGAATGTGATTGTTGGTCGTCACTCGTTACCACAGCCACAAAGTCTTAATTATCTTGTTAAAACCTGATTTTAAACCTAACCCTAACATTAAGCAGACTGCTAACGTTATGCCTAACCCTAACATTAAATTAAGACCAAAAAGCTCATTTTCGTTTTTATTAATCTTTACGATATAGCAGATTTTGACTTTGTGGCTGAGGTAACTATTGGCAACCGTGATATTGCGTCTTGCACCGGAAGTGATAATGCCGTTTGAGGTAGGAGTTGAAAGGTCATACTGACTGCGAAGGTTTGTTGTCCTAGCTAGTTTGTCAGCTTTTTTTCAGCAAGGAACGCTTCAGATATGTCCGCGTCTGAAGAACAAGAAGACACAGGGACCACTGTTCCATCCGTCCTCATTACGAGCTGTGACGTTGGCTTTAATGAACAAGATTTGATAAAACGTAAGTAGATGCGAGGGTAGCAAAATGGCATAACTAGCTAACGTTAGCTTTAATACATCGCAAGATCACTCTAACAGGCTGCCTAAACAGGAACACACAAACATGTATTACTGTTTATAGAAGCTGTTCATCACTGACATTGTGAATGTGTTGCGAAGTTATCTACTGTAGCTAGTTTGATATATATATATATATATATATATATTTTTTTTTTTATACAGGACAGGCAGTTGCTAGTTGCTAAGTGATGTAGCTAGCCAGCCAGCACTAGAGCTACCAACCAGCTAGCCGACTGAAGCCAAATATGGGGATAACGTTACAGCTTGTGTGACTGGCAAACATTTAATCATGTCTATTGCTTTTTCAGAGATTCTAGGCACCACATCGTTGCCAAATCCGTCCAAGGAGGAGGATACGGTAGTGTGGTACCCATGGACTATCAACAACAAGTATTACACTGCAGACGTCAGCCTCTGTGTTGTGCCCAGTACATACCAGATGACCTCGGAGATAGCCCAGTCCATGCAGGCTTTCATTGCTTACTTTGACAGCACAGTGGTAAGTGATGTGTGTGTGTGTGTGTGTGTGTGTGTGTGTGTGTGTGTGTGTGTGTGTGTGTGTGTGTGTGTGTGTGTGTGTACAGTGCATTCGGAAAGTATTCAGACCCCTTGACTGTTTCCACATTTTGTTACGTTACAACCTTATTCTAAAATTGATTTTATTTAATTTTTTCCTCATTACACAATAAGCCATAATGACAAAGCAAAACAGGTTTTTAGAAATATTTGCAAATGTATAAAAAAAAAAAAAAACTGAAATATCACGTAAGTATTCAGACCCCTTACTAAGTATTTTGTTGAAGCACCTTTGGGAGTGAATACAGCCTTGAGTCTTCTTGGGTATGACGATACAAGCTCGGCACACCTGTATTTGGAGACTTTCTCTCATTCTCATTCCTCTGCAGATCCTCTCAAGCTCTGTCAGGTTGGATGGGGAGCGTCGCTGCACAGCTATTTTCAGGTCTCTCCAGAGATGTTCGATCGGGTTCAAGTCCGGGCTCTTGCTGGGCCACTCAAGGACATTCAGAGACTTGTCCCAAAGCCACTTCTGCATTGTCTTGGCTGTGTGCTTGGGGTCGTTGTCCTGTTGGAAGGTGAACCTTCACCCCAGTCTGAGATCCTGATCACTCTGGAGTAGGTTTTCATCAAGGATCTCTGTACTTTGCGCCGTTCATCTTTGCCTCGATCCTGACTAGTCTCCCAGTCCCTGCCGCTGAAAAACATCCCCACAGCATGATGCTGCCACCATGCACCGTAGGGATGGTGCCAGGTTTCCTCCAGACATGATCTTGGCATTCAGGCCAAAGAGTTCAATCTTGATTTCATCAGACCAGAGAATCTTGTTTCTCATGGTCTGAGTCTTTAGGTGCCTTTTGGCAAACTCCAAGCGGGCTGTCATGTGCCTTTTACTGAGGAGTGGCTTCCGTCTGGCCACTCTACCATACAGGCCTGATTGGTGGAGTGCTGCAGAGATGGTTGTCCTTCTGGAAGGTTCTCCCATCTCCACAGAGGAACTCTAGAGCTCTGTCAGAGTGACCATCGGGTTCTTAGTCAACTCCCTGACCAAGGCCCTTCTCCCCCGATTGCTCAGTTTGGCCAGGCGGCCAGCTCTAGGAAGAGTCTTGGTGGTTCCAAACTTTTTCCATTTAAGAATGATGGAGGCCACTGTGTTCTTGGGGACCTTCAATGCTGCATAATTGTTTTGGCACCCTTCCCCAGATCTGTGCCTCGACACAATCCTGTCTCGGAGCTCTACGGATAATTCCTTCGACCTCATGGCTTGGTTTTTTCTCTGACATGCACTGTCAACTGTGGGACCTTTTTTATATAGACAGGTGTGTGCCTTTCCAAATCATGTCCAATCAATTGAATTTACCACAGGTGGACTCCAATCAAGTTGTAGAAACATCTCAAGGATGATCAATGGAAACAGGATTTACCTGAGCTCAATTTCGAGTCTCATAACAAAGGGTCAGAATACTTAAAGGACCAGTCAAAAGTTTTAGAACACCTACTCATTCAAGGGTTTTTCTATATTTTTACTATGTTCTACATTGTAGAATAATAGTGAAGACATCAAAACTATGAAATAACACACATGGAATCATGTAGTAACCAAAAAAGTGTTGAACAATTTTAGATTCTTCAAAGTAGTCACCCTTTGCCTAAATGACAGCTTTGCCCACTCTTGGCATTGTCTTAGACAGCTTCACCTGGAATGCTTTTCCAACAGTCTTGAAGGAGTTGCCACATATGCTGAGCACTTGTTGGCTGCTTTTCCTTCACTACGGTCCAACTCATCCCAAACCATCTCAATTGGATTGAGTTCGGGTGATTGTGGAGGCCAGGTCATCTGATGCAGCACTCATCACTCTCCTTCTTGGTAAAATAGCCCTTACACAGCCTGGAGGTGTGCTGGGTCATTGTCCTGTTGAAAAAGAAATTATAGTCCCACTAAGCCCAAACCAGATGGGATGGCGTATCACTGCAGAATGCTGTGGTAGCCATGCTGGTTAAGTGTGCCTTGAATTCTAAATACATCACAGACAGTATCAACAGAAAAGCACCCCCACACCATCACAGCTCCTCCTCCAGTCTTCAAGGTGGGAACCACACTTGCAGAGATCACCCATTCATCTACTCAGACACGGCGATTAGAACCAAAAATCTCAAATTTGGACTCATCAGACCAAAGGACAGATTCCCACCGGTCTAATGTCCATTGCTCGTGTTTCTTGGCCCAAGCAGGTCTCTTCTTATTAATGGTGTCCTTTAGTAATGGTTTCTTTGCAGCAATTCGACCATGAAAGCCTGATTCACGCAGTCTCCTCTGAACAGTTGATGTTGAGATGTGTCTGTTACTTGAACTCTGTGAAACATTTATTTGGGCTGCAATTTCTGAGGCTGGTAACTCTATTGAACTTATCCTCTGCAGCAGAGTTAACTCTGGGTCTTCCTTTCCTGTGGCGGTCCTCTTGAGAGCCAGTTTCATCATAGCGCTTGATGGTTTTTGCGACTGCACTTGAAGAAACTTTCAAAGTTCTTGACATTTTCCCAGATTGACTGACCTTCATGTCTAAAAGTAATGATGGACTGTCCTTTCTCTTTGCTTATTTGAGCTGTTCTTGCCAGAATATGGACTTGATCTTTTACCAAATAGGGCTATCTTCTGTATACCCCCCTACCTTGTCACAACACAACTGATTGGCTCAAACGTATTAAGAAGGAAAGAAATTCCACAAATTAACAAGGCATACCTGTTAATTGAAATGCATTCCAGGTGACTACCTCATGAAGCTGGTTGAGAGAATGCCAAGAGTGTGCAAACCTGTCATCAAGGCAAAGGGTGGCTACTTTGTAGAATCTCAAATATAAAATATTTTTTGATTTGTTTAACACTTTTTTGGTTACTACATGATTCCATAGGTGTTATTTCATAGTTTTGATGTCTTCACAATTATTTTACAATGTAGAAAATAAAAATAAAATAAAAAAAACACTGGAATGAGTAGGTGTTCTAAAGTTTTGACTGGTACTATATGTAATTTTAAAACATTTGCTAAAATGTCTAAACTTGTTTTTGTTTTGTCATTGTGGGGTTTTGTGTATAGATTGAGAAAAAATATATAAATTTTATCCATTTTAGAATAAGGCTGTAACAAAATGTGGAAAAAGTCAAGGGGTCTGAATACTTTCCGAAGGCACTGTATATCGGTGGGGTTTGGTACAACAGGCTGCATCTCAATTTGTCTTTCTGTTCCTCGCGTCCCATCTTTTTGCGTCCTACCTACTCAACCGAGGTCCAACTTTGAGGTGCCTCCCTGTCCCCTCAGACCTCCAGTGCATTTTGAGAAGGAGGTGAGAAGAGAGGATGCAACAAGTGTAGGAAAGATATTAATTGAGAAACCTGGGGATGTCTATGCTTTGGTAAATCACAGGTGTATTGGCTAGAAACCAAACGGAATCAAACAGAACAATACTGGGAAATGTATCCAATGGAGACTCTCATTTTTGTTGCAAAACATTTTCCATTGCAAAAAGCTTTGCAAAAGTCTGAAATGTTTTTGCAACCGTGTGCAACTTATGAACACACCCCAGGTAACCGTTGTCTCCCTGTGGTCTGACAGAAGGATGGTTTGGAGCGGCTGTCTCCCTGGATATCTGTGGTGGAAGACTTAGCTCCAGAGGTGCTCATCCTGGTCTGTGACCGTGTGTGTGAAAGTGGTGAGTGTTACACAACCTGTGTGTGTGTGTGTGTGTGTGTGTGTGTGTGTGTGTGTGTGTGAATTACGGTGTGTGAAACTTGTTCCAAAATTGAACTATACAACAACAACAACAACAACAAAAAACCATCTTATTCTACAGGCGTCAGTAGACATGAGGCACATCAGTGGTGTTTAGCCAACGCCTTCGAGTTGGTGGAACTCACCCCTGAAGACCTGCCAGATGAGGATGGTAAGAGAGAGAGAGAGTTTTTCAAGTAGCAGCAACATGCTGAATTGTGATTACAACATTTGAATTATTAATCTTTTCAGTCTCGTGAGGGGGAAAAGGTGTTGTCGTGCCCTCTTCACGACTGTCTTGGTGTGTTTGGACCATGATAGATTGTTGGTGATGTGGACACCAAGGAACTTTAAACTCTCGACCTGCTCCACTGCAGCCCCGTCGATGTGAATGGGGGCGTGTTCGGCCCTCCTTTTCCTGTAGTCCACGATCAGCTCCTATGTCTTGCTCACATTGACGGAGAGGTTTCTCAATCAAATCAATCAAATGTATTTATAAAGCCCTTTTTACATCAGCAGATGTCACAAAGTGCTATACAAAGTGCTATACAGTTGTCCTGGCACCACACGGCCAGGTCTCTGACCTCCTCCCTATAGGCTGTCTCATCATTGTCGGTGATCAGGCCTACCACTGTTGTCATCAGCAAACTTAATGATGGTTTTGGAGTCATGCTTGGTCACGCAGTCATGGGTGAACAGGGAGTACAGGAGGGGACTAACCATGCACCCCTGAGGGGCCCCAGTGTTGAGGATCAGCGTGGCAGATGTGTTGTTGCCTACCCTTACCACCTGGGGGCGGCCCGTCAGGAAGTCCAGGATCTAGTTGCAGAGGGAGGTGTTTAGACCCAGGGTCCTTAGCTTAGTGATGAGATTTGTGGCACTATGGTGTTGAACGCTGAGCTGTAGTCAATGAACAGTATTCTCACACAGGTGTTCCTCTTGTCCAGGTGGGAAAGACACATCAGAGTCTGGCACAGTAATTATCCAAATGTCCGTGGTAGTTTGACAAGACAGAATTACAATAAGATCCATTTTCGAAATCAAACTTCTGACATTTACAGTGCATTCGGAAAGTATTCAGATCCCTTGACTTTTTCCACATTTTGTTACGTTACAACCTTATACCCCATAATCACAAAGCAAAAAACGTTTTTTTTTTTAGAATATCTGCTAATTTATTAAAAATAAACTGAAAATCACATTTACATAAGTATTCAGACCCTTTACTCAGTACTTTGTTGAAGCACCTTTGGCAGCAATTACAGCCTTGAGTATTCTTGGGTATGACGCTACAAGCTTGGCACACCTGTATTTGGGGAGTTTCTCCCATTATTTTCTGCAAATCCTCTCAAGCTCTGTCAGGTTGGATGGGGAGCGTTGCTGCACAGCTATTTTCAGGTCTCTCCAGAGATGTTCGATCGGTTTAAAGTCCGGGCTCTGGCTGGGCCACTCAAGGACATTCAGAGACTTGTCCCAAAGCCACTCCTGTGTTGTCTTGGCTGTGTGCTTAGGGTCGTTGTCCTGTTGGAAGGTGAACCTTCACCCCAGTCTGAAGTCCTGAGCGCTCTGGAGCAGGTTTTCATGAAAGATCTCTCTGTACTTAACACAGGCGGACTCCAAGTTGTAGAAACATCTCAAGGATGATCAATGGAAACAGGATGCACCTGAGCTCAATTTCGAGTCTCCTAGCAAAGGGTCTGAATACTTAAGGTATTTGTTTTTTTATTTGTAATACATTTGCAAAAATGTCTAAACCTTGTTTTCGCTTTGTCATTATGGGGTATTGTGTGTAGATTACTGAATACATTTTTTTTTATTTAATCCGTTTTTAGAATAAGGTTGTAACATAACAAAATATGTAAAAAGTCAAGGGGTCTGAATACTTTCCGAAGGCGCTGTATATAATGTGATGTATCAGTCCAAGGCCACAGCTGCGGGATTTCAGATCAGACGGCAGAGTCTGAATGGTTCTGGATGGAGGTTTGGGCGGCAGGTAGCTTAGTGGTTAAGAGCGTTGTGCCAGTAACCGAAAGGTCGCTGGTTCTAATCCCCGAGCCAACTAGGTGAAAAATCTGTCGATGTGCCCTTGAGCAAGGCACTTAACCCTAATTGCTCCTGTAAGTCGCTCTGGATAAGAGCGTCTGCTAAATGATTAAAATGTAATGTAAAATGAGGTTAGCTTACCAACTCTCTCATCCACTGTCTCTTCAATACCTCCCAGATGACTTCCCAGAGTCTACAGGAGTGAAGAGGATTGTCCAGGCTCTCAACGCTAACGTGTGGTCCAGTGTGGAGATGAAGGATGGTGAGATGGTTTCACATAATCTTATTTATATGTATGTATGTATGTATCAAATACAATGCGCCGAATACAACAGGTGTAGACCTTACAGTGAAATGCTTACTTACAAGCCCTTAACCAACAATGCAATTTTAAGAAAAATAAGTGTTAAGAAAGTATTTACTAAAATAAACTGATGTAAAAAAAATAAGACAAATAAAAAAATAATTAAAGAGCAACAATAAAATAACAGTAGGGAGGCTATATACAGGAGGTACCGGTACAGAGTCAATGTGCGGTGGCACAGGTTAGTCGAGGTAATTGAGGTAATATGTACAGTACCAGTCAAAAGTTTGGACGCACCTACTCATTCCAGGGATTTTTTAAACTATTTTTTACATTGTAGAATAATAGTGAAGACATCAAAACTATGAAATAACACATGGAATCATGTAGTAACCAAAAAAAAGTATTAAACAAATCAACATATATTTTATATTTGAGATTCTTCAAATAGCCACCCTTTGGCTTGATGACAGCTTGATTCTGGTGACCATTTTTCAACGGACCGAATCGCGGCTACTTCCTGTTTCAGCTTCTGCTTGTAAACAGGAAGCAAGAGTACGGAGTCATGATCTGATTTGCCTAATGGCGGACGAGGGAGGGCCTTGTATGCTTGCTTGTGGCTAGAATAGCAGTGGTCTAGGACTCCATCGCCCCTAGTGGCGTTGGAGACATGTTGATGGAAGTTGGGCATCACGTGCCTTAGTGATGCCCAATTAAAATTGTCGGCTCTGGGTGTAGGTTTTCCTGCTTGTTTGTAGCCTTGTAAAGTTTGTTAAGCGCCAACTTGTTATTTTTTCTCAATTTCCCCGACTCCACTGTCCTGTCCGCCCTGTGAATGGCGAATCCATCAAGTTGGATAGCCATGGGGGGGTATCATTTCCTAGAGCCATGTTTCTGAAAAGCAAAGAATTTTGCAGTTCCAAGAGTCCCGTTGGTAGCAAATCCGCGATCGGAGGGCATCCATCTTGTTATCATGTGACTGTACATTAGCCAATAGAATGGAGGAAGAGGTGGCCGGTTTTCCCTTCACCACGATTCCCCCCTAATTTGCTAAGAAAATACAAACTAGCTGTTTGCAGACGTAAGAAACAGAAACTGATAGTGTAATTATAGAACGCTTGTGGATTTATATTAAGAATCAAAGTGAAAACGGCGTCGGTGTCATCAACATTGTTGCTTGTGCTGCATTGACCAAGTGTCCCCGTGGTTGAGGAACAGCAGAAGTGCTCCTTGAGTGACGGTGCGGGGACAGGTCTGTGTGGGAAGCGGCAGAGAGAGAGATGACTCGAGTAGGGAAGTAAACTATAAAAATGGATGTTACACACGGCGAACCCATTTAACAAACAAAACATTAAAATACCTTTTTATAGAAGGTAAAGTAATACCAATATATGGTAAAATACGGTATACCGCCCAGCCCTAGCCAACCGTTGTCACTGTTGATATCCTATGTTGTGTCGTGATTTGTTTAAGTTAACAGAAAAGTGGTCTGTTCCCTTTTCCAAATCAACATCAGACATTCCTAAATATAGATAGAAGCTTTCTACAAGTCACCAAACGTGTATAGGTTATTCCATGTTTCCGTGTGGCCTTTGAATAGTGTTAGTTTAAACAGCGCTACACTCCAAACCTTTTCCCCTGTTCTATTGATTTCTATGATTTCTTCAACGTGATATCGATGGAAGTGATTAACCAAAAAATAATGAGTGATTGACAAAATGTTTCTCTTTCCGTTTTGGCGACCCCCCCCAAATCAAAATGCATCACTCCAAAAGGAAGCTGACCTTCTTCTGCAGGTTGTTCTTTAACCAGTAAAAAATATCTCCAGTTTCCATGTGTTTTTTTTTTTATTGTTAGATTTCCAAAAATGTGCTGCGATTTGATTTATTTTGATATACCAGAAATCACCAAAACGGGTTTGGCCTGCCTAATAGTAATATTCAACAGCACTGATGATGATTCAGTTACTTTATTAACATAAGAGAGATCGCTGTATGGCAGCTCTTCCTCCAACAGGAAGTTTACTGTTTTCATGGTCTGAATCAGACAGAGAGATGTACAATACCTGACTCATTCTCTCTCTCCCAGAACACAGTGGGGGCTTTGGTCTGATGAGCAGCTTGGTGGCCTCCAGACGTAACAACCCACAGCCCAGACAGGATACGCCACCCCCGGTCAGTGGTCCTGACAACCCACAGCCCAGACAGGATACGCCACCACCGGTCAGTGGCCCAAAGCAGCCTTTTTTTTTTTTTTTTTAAACCTCTCCTCAGGGACCGTCAGACATATGACCTGTTCCAACTGGAACACCTGATTCAACATGTCAACTAATCATCAAGCCCTTCTACTTCAATTGACTACATTTTAGTCATTTAGCAGACGCTCTTATCCAGAGCGACTTACAGGCGCAGTTAGGGTTAAGTGCCTTGCTCAAGGGCACATCGACAGATTTTTCACCTAGTCGGCTCAGAGATTAGAACCAGCGACCTTTCGGTTACTGGCACAACGCTCTTACCCGCTAAGCTACCTGACTACACAGTTCTGGGAACAGGCTACATTTTCACCATACTACAGTACAGGCATTGATGTATTTTTTAAATAATGGTGTGTATATTCTAAGATTGACAAACCAATTTCCCCTTAATTAATTAAGTATTACATAGACCCACAGGTTTGCGTTGGTACCTAGTGCTGCATACTGACCTGTTTTGTGTTGTCAGTCCTCCAGTCTGCCAGTAGAGGGCAGAGGAGACAGCGGGGAGCCCCAGAGGACTGAACCCAACCCTGACAACCGAGACACACAGGTTGACACCATAGTAGGTGAGTGAGCTGGTTACATTTAGTCATTTAACAGACGCTACTATCCAGACCCACTTACAGTTAGTGGATTGATCTTAACAGACGCTTTATCCAGAGAGACTTAGTCAGTGGTAGTTAGTTGACTATCAGCAGTCAGTGGTAGTTAGTTGACTATCAGCAGTCAGTGGTAGTTAGTTGACTATCAGTAGTTAGTTGACTATCAGCAGTTAGTGGTAGTTAGTTGACTATCAGCAGTTAGTGGTAGTTAGTTGACTATCAGCAGTTAGTGGTATTTAGTTGACTATCAGCAGTCAGTGGTAGTTAGTTGACTATCAGCAGTCAGTGGTAGTTAGTTGACTATCAGCAGTCAGTGGTAGTTAGTTGACTATCAGTAGTTAGTTGACTATCAGCAGTTAGTGGTAGTTAGTTGACTATCAGCAGTTAGTGGTATTTAGTTGACTGTCAGTGGTAGTTAGTTGACTATCAGCAGTCAGTGGTAGTTAGTTGACTATCAGCAGTCAGTGGTAGTAGGTAAGTGGACTGGGATCTGATTCTCTCATCTGTTCTGTAGGCTTTATAACAATCCCATAGAAAAACCTTACAAGCTGATTTTCTAGGCAACTCTTCACAATTGAGACTATATATACATTATACAACATTGTAGATTCTGAGCATAAAGATGAATGGCCATTTTAAACAATTAAATGTATGCAATCTGAAGCAAATAATAATAAAATAATGAAAATGTATCCCATTTTTAGCCGATGCTTTTATTCAAAGCAACTTAGTCAGTCATGCATACATTTTTCTTATGGGAAGGGCCCAGCGGGAATCGAACCCAAGCCGCCAAGCTTTACCAACTGCGCTACAGAGGGCCTTCAGTATGTGTTCACGTTTTGTGTCTGTAGATCCGATGCTCGACTTGGACATCCAGGAGCTGGCTAACCTGACAGCTGGTGATGCAGACGTGGAGAACTTTGAGCGCCTCTTCACCAAACTGAAGGAGATGAAAGGTACCTGGCTGGAGATACTAGGGGCTGCATCCCAAAACGGCACCCTATTCCCTACATAGTGCACTACTATTGACCAGAGCCCTATGGGCAGATGTTGGCTCAATTGGAAATTATCTAAAATGTCCAGCGTGCTATAGAGGTTTCTGATTGGATCCCAGCGTGCTATAGAGGTTTCTGATTGGATCCCGCATGCTATAGAGATTTCCTTTTTTATATTTTTTGTTGTATTATACGTTGTGGCACAGCCCGGGAATGAACCCGGGTCTGTAGTAGCGCATCTAGCACTGCGATGCAGTGCCTTAGACCGCTGCGCCACTCGGGAGGCCCGCTATAGAGATTTCTGATTGGATCCAGCGTGCTATATGTTTTCTGATCAACATGATGGCGCCAACAGACGTGGCAGCTCTGCTTCTAGCTCCAAAGCAACTTTGCAGTATTTGGTATTTTTTTTGTGTTATTTCTTACATTATTTGCCCAGAATGTTTTTTGTGTTATTACATACAGCCGGAAATAACTTTGGGATATCAGAGCGGCGGTAACTCACCAGCATTACAACCAGAAATACGACTTTCCCGAATTGGATCCTTTGTTCGTACCCCCCAGGGCAATTGAAATTATCCCAGAGGCTGCTCCAAGATGCCGCCGGCGGAGAAGAGGTATTCGGAGTGGACTTCTAGTCTGACTCAGGAGGCGTGCACACCATCCACCGCTTCAGAGTATATTCACTCGCTAATGTTCGGTCCCTGGAAAATAAAGTAGACGAGCTCAGAGAGACATCAGGGTTTGTAACATACTCTGTTTTACGGAATCATGGCTCTCTCCGGATATACTGTCCCCGTCCATACAGCCAGCTGAGTACAGAACTCTCCGGGAAGAAGGAAGGTGGTGGTGTTTCATGATTAACTACTCATGGTGTGATTGTGATAACGTATAGGAACTCAAGTCCTTTTGTTCACCCGAGCTAGAATACCTCACAATCAAATGCCGACCGTATTATCTCCCAAGAGAATTCTCTTCGGTTATAATCCCAGCCGTGTATATTCCCCCTCAAGCCGATACCACGACGACCCTCAAGGAACTACACTGGACTTTGTGCAAACTGGAAACCACATATCCTGAGGCCGCATTTATTGTAGCTGGGGATTTCCCTTTGGCAAATCGGATCACGACTCCATTCTGCTCCTCCCTTCCTATAGGCAGAAACTCAAACAGGAAGTACCCGTGCTAAGGTCTACTCAACGCTGGTCTGACCAATCAGAATCCATGCTTCAAGATTGTTTTGATCACGTGGACTGGGATATGTTCCGGGTTGCCTCTGAGAATAACATTGACGTATACACGGACACGGTGACTTGAGTATAGGGGGTGTTGTTCCCACTGTCACTATTAAAACCTACCCAAACCCACTACAATTTGCATACCGCCCCAACAGAGCCAGATACGATGCAATCGCCATCACACTACACACTGCCCTATCCCATCTGGACAAGAGGAATAACTATGTAAGAATGCTGTTCGTTGACTATAGCTCAGCCTTCAACACCATAGTGCCCTCCAAGCTCATCATTAAGCTCGGGGCCCTGGGTCTGAACCCCACCCTGTGCAACTGGGTCCTGGACTTCCTGACGGGCTGCCCCCAAGTGGTGAAGGTAGGAAACAACACCTCCACTTCGCTGATCCTCAACACTGGGGCCCCACAAGGGTGCGTGGTCAGCCCCCTCCTGTACTCCCTGTTCACCCATGACTGCGTGGCCAAGCACGCCTCCAACTCAATCATCAAGTTTGCAGACGACACAACAGTAGTAGGCTTGATTACCAACAATGACGAGACAGCCTACAGGTAGGAGTTGAGGGCTCTGGGAGTGTGGTGCCAGGAAAATAACCTGGCAACAAAACAAAGGAGATGATTGTGGACTTCAGGAAAAAGCAGAGGGTGCACGCCCCTATCCACATCGACGGGACCTCAGAGGAGAAGGCGGAAAGCTTCAAGTTCCTTGGTGTACACATCACTGACAATCTGAAATGGTCCACCCACACAGACAGTGTGGTGAAGAAGGCGGAACAGCCTCTTCAACCTCAGGAGGCTGAACAAATGTGGCTTAGCCCCTAAGACCCTCTCAAACTTTAACAGATGCACAATTGAGAGCATCCTATTGGGCTGTATCACCGCCTGGTACGGCGACTGCACCGCCCGCAACCGCAGGGCTCTCCAGAGTGTGGTGAGGTCTGCCGAACGCATTACCGGGGGCAAACTACCAGCCCTCCAGGACACCTACAGCACCCGATGTCACAGGAAGGCCAAAAAGATCATCAAGGACAACAACCACAAGAGCCACGGCCTGTCCACCTCGCTATCATCCAGAAGGCGAGGTCAGTACAGGTGCATCAAAGCTGGGACCGAGAGACAGAAGCAGTTTTTCAATCTCAAGGCCATCACTGTTAAATAGCCATCACTAGCCGGCTACCACCCGGTTACTCAACCCTGCACCTTAGAGGCTGCTGCCCTATGTACATAGACTTTAAATCACTGGTCACTTTAATAATGTTTATATACTGCTTTATTAATTTCATATGTATATACTCTATTCTACTGTATTTTAGTCAATGCCACTACTAATATTTATACATTTCTTAATTCCATTATTTTACTTTTAGATTTGTGTGTATTGTTGTGAATTGTTAGATACTACTGCACTGTTGGAGCTAGGAACACAAGCATTTCGCTACACCAGCAATAACATCTGCTAAATATGTGACCAATAACATTTGATTGGATCCAGCGTGCTATAGAGCGGTTTCTGATTGGATCCCGGCCTTAGTTGGCATTGCCGCCTCTGTATATTACAGACCACAGATGTCATACGACCCTGTTTTAGATTCATGCCAGTTTCAGATGACAGCCTGCTTTTCACTCTGCAGATAAAGCCTCATGGTTACCTCCTGAACAGAGGAAACTTCATGCTGAGAAGGTAGGTGCATCCCTAAACACACCTTTTTTTTATGTTAAACCCATTTAAACCAATACATTACATTCATATTTAGTTCTTCTGACTCTTCGTGTCAAACTTGTCCTATTGTCAACTGCATAATGTTGATTGAGGCGAAATTTCTAAATGTGTACCTGATTACTTGCTTCGCAGGTTGCCAAGGCGTTTTGGACGGCCATCGGAGGAGACCAGGATGAGCTAGAAGGCCTGTCGTCAGGGGAGGAGAGTTAAAGGGAGACTGAGGAGCCACACTCTTCTTTCCGGTCCCCAGTCCTCCCTACCCTGGGTCTCCTACTGGATCCAGTCTTCCCTACCCTGGGGCTCCCACAGGATCCAGTCCTCCCTACCCTGGGGATCCCACTGGATCCAGTCCTCCCTACCCTGGGGATCCCATTGGATCCAGTCCTCCCTACCCTGGGGCACCCACAGGATCCAGTCCTCCCTACCCTGGGGCTCCCACAGGATCCAGTCCTCCCTACCCTGGGGCTCCCACAGGATCCAGTCCTCCCTACCCTGGGGCTCCCACAGGATCCAGTCCTCCCTACCCTGCGGTTTTTTCACTAGGAAGCAAACAGAACAATATAAACTCTAGTTTTTGTTGCAAAACGTTTCCCATTGCAAAATGTTTCGCTACAGTGTGTGACTAATGAATACACCCCTGGTCTGCTCCCAACTCAGGAACTGTGAACGATAGAGTAGAGACTGGGAGGGACTCTAACCAGGTTGGCGAGAGGAGAGGCCTTATCATCATGATATTATCAATTATTACAATTTGTCTCACCACATGAAAAAAAAAAAGTTTTTTGCAACACTATCAAAAGCTAGCTTGGTCCCAGATCTGTTTAGTGCCGTCTTCCCGACCCAATGACCATACTGCAGGAGCTGGCAAGTCCGCACAAACATCTGGGACCAGGCTAGTAAAAGTTGTTTGGTGTCCAGTCTGCCCACGTTAGGAAGAGAGCAACTGAGAAGATTGTGTACAGTAAGAGGCTGTTCTGTGGCTGTTTAATGGGAGTCAATGTTTGGTGTTAATGTGGATGTTTTGTTTTTTGTTACCAGGGGAAAAACACATTGAGACCTTAGGTCTCATTGCAAATGTGCCCTGGGAACAATACAGAAAATACAAATTATACAATTAAATACACAATAAACAATCAAACAAAACAAACACATTTATCAATATAAAATGGATGAATGCCATGATGAGTGATGTGGAGACTGGTTGAACTGATCAATCCCTCTTCTCCTGCATGAGTCCTGTGTTGTCCAGCCGTGATGAGTGATGGTGGAGACTTGGTGGTTAACATAAACAGTAGTTCCCAGACCTCTCCCTCGGGGGACCCTTCAGACCTTTCACAGTGTTGTTCTAGCCCTAAATTAGGTCACCTGATTAATCAATCAAGGGCTTGATGATTAGTTGACATGTTGAATCAGGTGTGCTGGATGTGGCATAGATCACATGCATGGAACGGCTGGGGGTCTGCAGTAGAATATGGATTATATTGTAGTTTTGTCTTCAAGCCTTTGTTTGATTGTCCTGTTGATGTTCTGAGTACCGCAGTCACCTTGTAGAAAAGTTTTAAAAAATCAAGTGATGTGCCTTTTTTAATGTAATCATTAGTAAGACATTACAATTATACTTTATTTGCAACGTCTGATTAAAGACCTAAATAAATCAATATTAACTGGTGCACTATTTTGTATTATATTAGACATGTGGCACCAAATCACTGGAAATTATTCATTTAGCAATTGGCATTGCCCCCCCCCCCCCCCCAGGAAGTGAAAAAAACTAAACCCAGTGGAATGTACGTGCTCGGGCGTATTCTCCAACGTCCTTGCTTCTTTTCAGTCTAAGGTTCCATTCAATCTGCATCGTGGAAATGTACGTTTTACATCGTGATTGAAATGTGCACGCTGCTTATGTCGGCTCAATCGGAAATTATTATCGTGGAACCTATCGCTGTAGCTTTACAGATTGAAAACCATCTGAAACATTGTAGGAGCAGACCCCACGTTCACATCTCCATACGCCATCCAGCGCCATCCAGCGGTCTAAGGCACTGCATCTCAGTGCTTGAGGCGTCACTACAGACCAAGTGGCGCAGCGGTCTAAGGCACTGCATCTCAGTGCTTGAGGTGTCACTACAGGCCGAGTGGCGCAGCGGTCTAAGGCACTGCATCTCAGTGCTTGAGGCGTCACTACAGACCGAGTGGCGCAGCGGTCTAAGGCACTGCATCTCAGTGCTTGAGGTGTCACTACAGACTCCCTGGTTTGATTCCAGGCTGTATCACAACCGGCCGTGATTGGGAGTCCCATAGGGTGGCGCACAATTGGCCCAGTGTCGTCCGGGTTTGGCCGGTGTAGGCCTTCAATGTAAATAAGAATTTGTTCTTAACTGACTTGTCTAGTTAAATAAAGGTTAAATAAAAATAAATCTCATCTGGACAGTAGGCAAAAACAAAAGTACTTTGTTTATTTATTTTATTATAAGATTGTGGATAACAAAGCAAAGATGGATACAATAATAATACGCTTCCACAAACAGTTACATTTATATGAAAAGACCCCTTGACTCTTTCCACATTTTGTTATGTTACAGCCTTATTCAAAAATGGATGAAATACTTTTTTTCCCCCTCAGCAATCTCCACACAATACCCAATAATGACAAAGCGATAACAGGTTTTTATACATTTTTGCAAATGTATTAAAAATAAACGACAGAAATACCTTATTTACATAAGTATTCAGACCCTTTGTTATGGGACTCCAAATTGAGCTCAGGTAAATCCTGTTTCCATTGATCATCCTTGATGTTTCTACAACTTGATTGGAGTCCACCTGTGGTCAATTCAATTGATTGGGCATGATTTGGAAAGGCACACACCTGTCTATTTAAGGTCCCACAGTTGACGGTGCATGTCAGAGCAAAAACCAAGCCATGAGGTCGAAGGAATTGTCCATAGAGCTCCGAGACGGGATTGTTTTCGAGGCACAGATCTGGGGGAGGGTACCAAAAAAATTCTGCAGCATTTAAGGTCTCCAACAACAGTGGCCTCCATCATTCTTAAATGGAAGAAGTTTGGAACCACCAAGACTCTTCCTAGAGCTGGCCACCCGGCCAAACTGAGCAATCGGGGGCTAAGGGCCTTGATCAGGGAGGTGACCAAGAACCCGATGGTCACTCTGACAGAGCTCCAAAGTTCCTCTGTGGAGATGGGAGAACCTTCCAGAAGGACAACCATCTCTGAAGCACTCCACCAATCAGGCCTGTATGGTAGAGTGGCCAGACGGAAGCCACTCCTCAGTAAAAGGCACCTGCTTGGAGTTTACCAAAAGGCACCTAAAGACTCAGACCATGAGAAACAAGATTCTCTGGTCTGATAAAAACAAGATTGAACTCTTTGGCCTGAATGCCAAGCTTCACGTCTGGAGGAAACCTGTCACCATCCCTACGGTGAAGCATGGTGATGGCAGCATCATGCTGTGAAGATGTTTTTCAGCGGCAGGAACTGGGAGACTAGTCAGGATCGAGGCAAAGATGAACGGAGCAAAGTACAGAGAGATCCTTGATGAAAACCTGCTCCAGAGCGCTCAGGACTTCAGACTGGGGTGAAGGTTCACCTTCCAACAGGACAACGACCGTAAGCACACAGCCAAGACAACACAGGAGTGGCTTTGGGACAAGTCTCTGAATGTCCTTGAGTGGCCCAGCCAGAGCCCAGACTTGAACCCGAACAAACATCTCTGGAGAGACCTGAAAATAGCTGTGCAGCGACGCTCCCCATCCAACCTGACAGAGCTTGAGAGGATCTGCAGAGAAGAATGGGAGAAACTCCCCAAATACAGGTGTGCCAAGCTTGTAGCATCATACCCAAGAAGACACAAGGCTGTAATTGCTGCCAAAGGTGCTTCAACAAAGTACTGAGTAAAGGGTCTGAATACTTATGTATTCAGACCTTTTATTTTATTTTTAATAAATTAGCAAAAATTTCTAAAAACCTGTTTTTGCTTTGTCATTATGGGGGATTGTGTATAGATTGAGGGGGGGAAACAATTTAATCAATTTTAGAATAAGGTTGTAACGTAAAACAAAATGTGGAAAAAGTCAAGGGGTTTGAATACTTCCCGAAGGCACAGTAAGTACTGATACTAAGACAGTCATTACCTCAGTCATTTCAAACAGTTTCTCTATTCTTCTGGAGAGAACCAATGGACTACTGTTATGTAGTGTTTCACCATAGAACCGCTTTGAAATGGAGGACCCGGATCCTCTTGAAGACGTCCTAACTCTAAAACGAGTCAGTTTCCCAGACCCACGTTAAGCCTAGTCCTGGACTTAATGGAATATCTCCATTTTTTTTAAATCCAGGACTCGGCTGGAGTAGGGTGGTTAACCCTAGACAGGACTCGGCTGGAGTAGGGTGGTTAACCCTAGACAGGACTCGGCTGGAGTAGGGTGGTTAACCCTAGACAGGACTCGGCTGTAGTAGGGTGGTTAACCCTAGGGCTGGAGTAGGGTGGTTAACCCTAGACAGGACTCGGCTGGAGTAGGGTGGTTAACCCTAGACAGGACTCGGCTGTAGTAGGGTGGTTAACCCTAGGGCTGGAGTAGGGTGGCTAACCCTAGGGCTGTAGTAGGGTGGTTAACCCTAGGGCTGGAGTAGGGTGGTTAACCCTAGGGCTGGAGTAGGGTGGCTAACCCTAGGGCTGTAGTAGGGTGGTTAACCCTAGGGCTGGAGTAGGGTGGTTAACCCTAGGGCTGTAGTAGGGTGGTTAACCCTAGGGCTGGAGTAGGGTGGTTAACCCTAGGGCTGGAGTAGGGTGGTTAACCCTAGGGCTGGAGTAGGGTGGTTAACCCTAGGGCTGTAGTAGGGTGGTTAACCCTAGGGCTGGAGTAGGGTGGTTAACCCTAGGGCTGGAGTAGGGTGGTTAACCCTAGACACTGATCTGGGGTCATTTTTGTATTTCCCCACTAATAACTAGGATTGGGGGAGGGGAAACTTCACCCCGGAGCAGGCTTCATCTGGGACTAGGAAACCAGACCAAAATGACACCCCTGTACTAGGAGGGAGAAGACCCAGTAACCATAATGACACCCCTGTACTAGGAGGGAGAAGACCCAGTAACCATAATGACACCCCTGTACTAGGAGGAGGTTGAAGACCCAGTAACCATAATGACACCCCTGTACTAGGAGGGAGAAGACCCAGTAACCATAATGACACCCCTGTACTAGGAGGGAGAAGACCCAGTAACCATAATGACACCCCTGTACTAGGAGGAGGTTGAAGACCCAGTAACCATAATGACACCCCTGTACTAGGAGGGAGAAGACCCAGTAACTATAATGACACCCCTGTACTAGGAGGGAGAAGACCCAGTAACCAT